CCCCCCCCGCCACACAGACAGACAGCGAGGGAGAGAGAAGCACATGGACACAAGCCAGGAAGGCAAGCCTTTGTGTTTGTGTTTTGTGTGTGTAGAGTCGGTCCACGATCGCACGCCGATCTTCTTGGGGAGCTATGACGATGTGGAGGAGATCGAGCAGTACATGGCAAAGCACAAAGAGGAGATAGCGCCACACCTGGTCTATAGCACACACACACACACGGATACACACCCATCCATCCATCCATCCGTCCATGTGTGTGTGTGGCAATGTGTGTGCAGGTGGCGAAAGAGGAGCAGGTGCCCGTGGCAAAGTAGATAAGAGTAGAGAGGCCCACAGACTCACGGACGAATCGTGAGTGGGCGAGAGATGGACCGCCTGCCTGTGTGTGTGTGCGATGCGAGAGATGCCTTTGTGGTTCCATCCATCCATCCATCCATCTGTGTGTGTGTGTGCGTATGTGTGTGCACAAGCAAGATCTTGAGTGAGGCAGGCACAGAGGGGAGATGCTGAATCTGTCTGTCTGTCTGCCTGTGCATTATCTATCGATCTTCCTACCCATCTATATATCGCTCGGACTACATGTCATGTGAGGGTGTGGGTGGGTGAGGTCTGCCAACGAAGAGAACAAGAGAACAATGTACACGAATGTTCCCCCCGACATGCGTGTTGTGTTGTGTTGTTTGTTTTGCTGGGTTTCTTTTCTGCACTTTACACACGGGAGAGCGAATCTTTGAACGCCTGCCTGCCCACTTGTCTGTTTGCCTGTATGCTGCTGCACACGGGACGAAGATCCGTTTTTGCGACCACCTGTCTGTCTGTCTGTCTGTCTATGTGTGTGCCGGGGAGACGTGTACGTTCGCCACGTCGCATTTTTCTCCCCACGTGTGTGTATGTGTGTGGGTGTCGTGTGTGCATGCCTGTCTGTGACTGTCACGGCTGATTGTTTGTATGTCTTCGTGGTGTGGCATTCATTATCAACTCAACCAACGGGTGTTGACGAATCAATCGTGCCAAAAGGCAATCCAATCGGGGGGTCCGTCAGCGTGATGCATGCATCAATCCATCCACCCATCACTCGACGCATCAATCACACGCACGGCAAATGGCGCCAATCTCGCCAAAAACTATGATCTAGACTTCCACACTGTACAGGCAACACCACTTCGTCCATATATCGTCAGTCAAATGACTGACATTCACTGCGGTCCGTCCCGCTGCTGCTGCTGCTGCTGCTGTTTGATGACCATGTCTGTGGCCAGCTCCACCGGACACAGGCAGTGCACACCATCCACCAGCCTGCACAGAGACACACACACACGGACACGCAGGCACACCCACCCACGCGTCCATCAACGAACGAGTGGACAAATCGTGTCTGGATGCACTCACTGGCACGTACGTACCTGTGGAGGCAGTATGTGTCGAGGAACGCCCTCCACCTTGAAATGCGCCCTTTCTCCCCCCCTCTCCCCCCTCTCCCCTCTGTCCCCTCAGTGTAGGGCCCCTGCACATGCACAAGGCACATACACACACAAACAAAACGTACGTTCACACGGCTGCGCATGGATGAGGACGAGTGGGTGGGTGGGTGGTGGATGGCCGGACTTTGCAATGGAACACGAACAGCCCCAGCAATGCGAGAATGTGCACAAGCGACGTCCTGAAAAAGGTCCTCGCCGTCCGGATCGAGGGATTCTGCACACAAACAGACACACACACACACACACAGAGATGGATGGATGGATGTGTGTATGCGTGACGGACAGGCAAGCATTATTGCGATGCGCCGTGCCTCTCCTAGAGTGCGTGCAGTACACTGTCTGTTCCATTCGATTTGTGCGGACGAGTAAAGGCAGACACGCATGTGGATGGTGCCGTGCTGCCCTGTCTTTGCCGCCCACTGCTTAG